ATGAAGTCATACTGCTGGCTGGCTGGGATATGACAGCGTTGTTTCTCGCGAGTGGCCAGCTGCACTGTAAAAGTAAATCCAATACTTTCAAATGATCCGTGTGTAGTCGACCCTAACCAGATGTCTCTTAGATCCTGTGGTCACGCACCACTATTAGTAATTCAACTTCTTTCTCAGGTACCTCAAGTAGTTTGGTCAGCCGAAAGTGTCAACTGCTCTCACAGCTTTATCAGAACTCAACTTTCTTCAGTTTATCGTTAACTTCCAACATATTTGCCGTCTAATCTTTCTTCACCTATCTCGGTGAATATTTGTGTCATTATGAATTTCCTCCAGCTCTTCAGCTTTTGAAAATGATTCAGGTTCACAAGCAGAATCCTTAGTCTCCTATAACTGCATTCCAAAGTACACGCCGTAGCTATCAGTGTCTGTATCCCGCGTCAAATTGCTCAACAGACATCACTAACCAGCGTATATAGTAGATTGTAGGCTGTGTTGATCTTTTTAGCGTAGGTTTTTTCCATGTTTATACCAGTTTTATTACCCAACGTTCATAGTGCTTTAGATAGTCGGTTCATAGATTTATTAAATAACTCCACTGCTGTAATCAGCATTGCAACAGAAGTGGTCCTTTAGCTTCCATAGCGTATGCCGAGGTTATAATACATTAGATATTAATGCTTATTTGTGTAATATATAATGAAGAATTATTCATTTCTCTTCAATGTGTAATGAAGCGTAATTCGTTTATTGCTTCCTAAATACACAGTACTATTTGGTTTTTCCTTTGTACTTCATTTCCAGTCACATGTTGTTTAAATTGTGTCGATGTCTGTACGATGCTGTTAGACCACTGATAATTCATATTAATCATATTGAAATACTATCTGAACTGTGTGATATATTAAAATATGAATTACTTCATCACGATAATCCTAAAACCAATTGTAAGTTAAACTGAATTCTTAAATTTATGCTTGTCATCTTGTTTACACAACTTTTTGTGTGTTTAAATATCTTTTTCTGAGGAATACTTTGGCATCACTTTATTTTCTAATCATTTTAAGAGAAGGGTAGTCATTTGCAGCTTGTCAGTACTTGTATCCATGTTCTCACTACGATTCCCATCCCGTACCAGGTTTTTTTTGGTACCACAGGTTATTTTCACTACACCATGGAAACCTGGAATATATTGTTCACGTACTTAGTAATGTTTGTATCTTGATGGCATCTTTTTAATGTTCGGTCAACTGAGATTTGAGGGTAGTCATTTTCAGTCATAAGACAACCTTTTTGAGTCCTATCCGATCCGATCCTGTTTATTGTTAAAGCTTTCATCTTCATACTAAGTACCTTACAACAGTTGGTTATCACCTACCGTGGGTCATTGGTTTAGGGAGGTGGCTTTTAACCAGTGGATCACGAGTTCGAACCCCATCCCACCAACCGAAGTTTGGTCAACCAGGTAGTATGACTATCAGTCACACAATAGGTGTGACTCTTTGATTACTACACGGACGCGCACAAGGTAACCGAGTGCGTTTCGTTTTGTAATCACCTACCGAGGTCCAGATAACCACGTAGTTACACAAAAAGTGTGTATCATAGCATAGTGTATGAAAATGCATGCAGCTACGCCTTTTTATGGCATAAATAATGCATTTATGTTCCATAATTAGTAAATGCGTTTCTTTTTCTTCAAACTGTCGCTACGCTATTTCTTTTTATAGCATCAGATATGGTAGCATTCAATGATCTATGTGAAATGTTATTGGCTGATATTCAAGAACGGTTGATATTTCGGGCACATATATATGTTAAATCACAAATCCTTGGCTTTCTTCCAAGCCCTGGAGATCTTTCTTATCCAGAAAAACTGGAAATGATGGATGTGAGTTTTATCACTTTACTACGAATGTATCTATCGTAATGGGATATTTAAATTTCTTGTTTTACTGTATTCTCCAAATGGGGTAGCTTCTCAAGTATTTTGAATAAGCAATGATTGTCTTTTAAAAGCTAATGGGCTCATTCAATTACAATTGAGTGAATTCAGAAATAAGCAGGATATACAACTCGACATAAGGATGATAAGTGTTTGGTATTATCTGATCTTAGATATTTGATGCTGGATACCTTTATCATCGGGATTGGTGACTCAATCTTTGGATAACATACTTAGAAGACGTGGTTTATCTGATTATCCAATTACGTTGTCCAAATCCATAAATAGGACATTGTTTCAGACTTTGTCCTTGATAACTTCGAAAAGCAATGATGTATCTCTAAACTTCGTGATGGTGTAGGCAGTTAGTTATTTTGATATTTGTATTTCCCAATGAAATTAAGATAAAATAAATTTGTTTTAACTGACGTTTCTCTGTTTAATTCTAATAGCTTTATCAAAGTTATATTAAACCGAAATTTACAATTTCCAAGCTTACGTCACTATGTGGGGGTGGGTTGCCTCCAGTCTTTTAAGGAAAGCGCACACTCTGGTAAAAGATGAAAATGAAAGAGTTAAGGAATTTAAATATGGAAACAAAATAATTAATGGGAATAATTATCCGTTAAAATTCATTCGTAAAATAGAAATAACATTGAATTAGATCGTAAAACTACTCCCAAACTAAGCGCTTCAGCAATAGTTATCCCTTACAGATCCATCACACACATCGGATGAAATTAGGAGAGTGCTCAACAAATACAATATCATAGTGTTCTACAGAACATCAAGCGTTGCAGAACACCTTAGTTCATTTGAAAGACGAGATCTCTCTAGATTCACATTCTAATTGTGTTATAAAGTAGAATTCTCAGACTGAGATGCAATATGCATAGGACAAACTTCCCGTGAAATCAAAATTAGGGAAACTGAACACCAAAGAGTTTCCATCCGACCCCCTAGAAATCCATTGAAACTGAAAAGACTTGAAAATGCACCAACCATGCTATTATTTCAAGTCACAAGGTCAACTTTGACAATATCGAAATTATTCAGAAAGGCTTTAGAAATTATGAAGAACGTCTCATAGCAGAATCTCTTCACATTAAGAAGAATCAAAATTGTTTAAATAGGAATGAGAGAGTAAAACGTAGTTGTACCTGGTCTCAACCCACCCCACATACTGACATAGCCAACATACATACGATAAGAACTATCAACACATGTGTACATAGAAATCTCAGTTTATAATTCATGCACTCTTCACACACAACACACTATATATGGATATCATCTTTATTCTACAATTCTGACAATAGAATCATTCGTGCAGTAGAACACTTGTCGAGTTATCATACATAAGCTTGGCAATTGTAAATTTCGGTTTAATATAATTTTGATAAAGCTATTAGCACTAAATAGAGAAACGTCAGCTAAAAGGAATTTATTTTGTGTAGCCAGTTACTTTATCAACCTTAATTTCTGTTTGTGTATCAGGGAATGTTTTGCTGCTTGTTAACATGTCACTTTATTGCGGGAACTTTATCAACTCGTGATCTCTGATACTAGGATGTAACTACCCAAGTCACCACATTTCACTGTGTAAAGCTGACTTGCAAAAATCCTTGTGGACAAGTAATTCTCATCTATGTCATTTATATCATACTTGGTTGTCGATTTGTTTGGTGTTTTTCTAGTTAGTTTTGAGAAGATAACTTTTCAAACACGTTAAAAGTGAAGTCTTTGTCAATCGGTCCATTTACCTCTGTTTCAATCAAATGCCACTACTGACACGATGACACTACAACACGTGGCATATGCTACGAAGGCGATGTTGGTCGAACACCTGAAACCTCTACATCTAGTGACCATGTTTCACAATGATATACTTTATCAGGCGTTTATTTTTAGACCCCATCGATATCTTTTAGGTGAAATTTGTTGCTTTTCGCTAACTACTTGTCGTAAGCCGTGTGGTTACCTTTTTTAGTAGATCAACCCTTCTATGTATATATCTTGTAATTTCTTACGTTTGCAGGACATTGCAAAAAGTGTTTCAAAACCTGTAGATCCAAGAAGCTCACCTGATGAAAGTAACGACCCCGAGAAACCGGAAACAGAAATCACATCAACTGTATCCTCCGTAGCTTGTCCAGGCAATCAGCCCACGATGTCTGATTTGGCAGTTCAACCGGGACCTAACATGTCTCTTGCTCCAGCTGATTTGCATGGTATGTGGTATCCAACAGTACGGCGTACCTTGGTGTGTCTTTCAAAACTTAGTCGTTGCTTAGAAGTAAGTCTGTACTTCACATAACTAACAGCTTGTTAACATATTTATTGAGGAAAGAATTGAATTCTGTTTAATGTAAAAAAATGTTTAAATTGAAAACTTAAAGTTGAGATGTATCTTCATCATATAAAGTATTTGATATGTTCAGTATGTCACTTAGTATTCTGAATTCAATCACTTTTGACATTTGCATGAAAGTGGGTAAATGTGACAGAGTCACATACTATCGATAGAACTGGCTGATCACGCCAGCCAGTGAGTATGTCGCCTGTCCAGATATGAAATGTCTGCGTCTACATTAACCCTCTCAACTGATAAACTCAACACAGCACACAAAATAGAACAAAGATCAGATGTTCATTCAGTCGTTGCCAATCAGGACATAAGAGAAGAAGAGTAAGCAGTTCTACGCAAAGACTCATTTGGATTTTTCATTCATGAAGTTGTACAATCGCACACGTACATAATTTTTAGTCAGCATCATAATCTGCGAAATAGTTACAATAGTTTCTTAAATGGAGTAAAAAGTGAAATAGAAAATCAGTACTGAAAACTATCACGAACGAGGGAGATTACTCAAAATATGATCGAAATTCTATAAAGATTATTTGGTTTAGATAACGTTACGTAGTCAAAAAAGGCACAGAAAAAAATTATTCAAACATGAAAGATTGAAAAAAATAGGTGACGTTTAAAACTGACATGGAATTAGGGGGACTAACCAGTTTTTTCAAACCATCCAGTCCATTGTTGGCCAGGATACCTTCAAACTAACCAGTTTTGTTTATATTAGCTGGGTTTTCCATATGTTGCTGATTAATAAAAAGTAGTATCGATTTTCTGGTATTTGTTACTTTGTATGTTTCGTTGAGTAGTAAAGGGTGTTTACTTTTACATATTTGCGAAGTGTTTATAATTTCAGTGAACTTACATAACTTCGCCTTGCTCTTCTTCATTTATTCCTTGTATTGTGTCTCTTATTCATTGATCCCTGTTTATCTTGCACCCTTCTTGTTCTTGCGTGCTTTTACGGGTTTTTTCTTAGTTAACCATGATTGACTGCTCGATAAAGCTGCATGGTGTTTTTTTTTTCAAACACACTTCGTTAATTTTGCTTTTCATGGTATAAGGAAACCGAAAGATTCAAGATATCACTTGAATTATCCGGCTTGTTTTGCGTTTTTATGCCCATCTGCTCTTGTGTAACTAGGGTTAGCCTTACGGGAACTCTCAGAAGAAATAACCCTCCAATGTATGGGCAGTCGTGATGTAGCAACCGTTCTCACAACTGTCAGTACTCAAGCTCCATCACATCACTATCAATCTCTCACATCCTTACTTTCTGATTTTCCTTCACGTCTCTCAGTCAATTATCCTACATCATCTTCAATTTGTCCCTGCTCTTCAGCTCTTGATTATGATCTGAGTTCACAGAACAGCAACCATATCATTTGTCCCTTGGGTTCCTGGTGGAACATAGGGCTTCAGTAGCACATCTCCGTTTCACTCTATTTCTGCAGTCGTTTGAATCTGGCTTCATGACTGCCCACAAGTTTTCATTTCTTCCTCACACAATCTCCTCCATGTCACCCTCAGCTGGGATGCCCAACTCGTCGTTTCCCATGCGGCCTCCACTCGAGGGTCTGGTCTGGTGCGTGATATCCCCAACCAGTCTTCTCAGTGGATGCCCAATCTATCTCCACTTTCTTCTGCATATTTGTTGGACTATGGGTTCTTGGTTGGTTCGTCGCCAGGCCAGAGTTCCTTGTTGCTTATTCTCATTATTCTGGCCATCTGATTTTCAGTGTAGGCAGCAGCTGTTGATGAATGTCAGTAGTTTGTTGGGAGTGCTTTTCGTGACGCGCCAAGTCTCTCAACCATCACATGGAAGCACTGACTTGCTTGAGTGAACTAGTGTTGAAAATTCGGATGTTGTTCACGCTTTATGCTGAGTGGAGTGCAGTGAGGTGCATTAGATCTCTACACTGATTTCAGACTAATGAAGGAAGGCCTGTCCTGCTGTCTTTCCGATCCTTGCTTTGACGTCCAAATATGTGCCGCCAACTGTAGTTGAAACGATGCTGCCTAGGCTAGGTAGGTAGGTGAAAGAGATTACTTCGTTTAGATTTCTCCCGTTGATGGTGATTGGTGCTTGTTGTAGATGCTGTTGTTGGTTGGGTATCTTCATCACCTCTGTCTTCTCTACGCTCACCTGAAGGAAGTCCTGTCTTAGCTGCCCTGCCGCTTCTATCAACTTGTTGCTTTTCGCCTTTAGATCTTCAAGCTTGTGTGACCTTAGACATGAATCATCATCATCAGTGGCGAAATCCAAATCTTCTTGGGTCCTTCCATCGGTCACTGAGATTTGCATTGTGAATCCCGTGGCATATGACGTTCTCATATAGTTGTTGAATGAGATTGATAAAGGTTTATGGCACTAAAACCGTAGTGTTGAAGCAGCTGCCTGCCAAATTACTTCTCGGTCGACGCTATCGAAGGCCTTTTCAAAATCGATGAAGTTGAGATTGATTTGAGTTGACTGCCATTCTATGCTCTGTTCTATGATGATGCGTAGCGTAGTAATGTGATTTGATCCGCACATGACTTGTTCTTCTGGAAGCTAGCCAGCCTGTTCTGGTCGTGATTTCGAGTTGAGAGCATTTTTTAATCTCTCCAGGATGATGCAGCTTAGTATTTTGCTTGAGGTGGACATGGACAGAAGCATGATTCCGCACCAGTTCTTCTTCCTGCAAAGACTTAGGTCATCCTTCTTTGGAAGTTTGACAAGGTAGCCCTTCTTACAGTCCTCAGGTTTCTCTCCTGCCTTCCTTCCAAACCTTCTGAAGTAGTGGTGTGAGCACGTCGACTGCTGATGTCTCTGTGCCTGTTTTCAGTGCTTCCGGAGGAATTCCATCTGGTCCTGCTGCTTTCCCGCATTTCAGTAACTTTATGGTGTTCAGGACTTCATTTCTGCTTTTGTCGGAGGGTTTGTGTTCACTGATAGTTCTGTGGTTGGGCTGTTGGTGGTATTTCTGGACGAGTTGCAGATGGTGGTGGTCGTATCAACAGCTTTTTGAAGTGGTCAGTCCATCGTTTCCTTAGTTTCTCCTCTTTGCTTACTAGCTTTCCTTCACTATCTTTCATTGGTTTCATCTGTGTTGTGTTGATCTCTTCCCTCCCAGATAATAACCTGATTATTTGATATAGTGTTGTCAGTTCGCTCCTACCTGCAGCCTGTTCTGCTTCACTTTCCAGTGTGTCGTAGAAGTGTCTTTTGTCTTTCTATGCACTCTTCTTCACTTCTTTGTCCAGTGTAGTGTTTTGTAGGTTGTGTTCAGTTCCTCTTTTCATTGTTCATCCCTGCACTGCACAGCACTGTTTTATCTTCTGCTTCACCATCTTTCTCTGCCTGCTCTATCAGCTTCCATGTGTCTGTCGATTTACATTCCTCCTCTTGTATTGTTTCTTCTTCCTTCCTAGTGCGGTTATGCAGGTTTCGTTCCACATAGCTTTCAAAGAGTTTCAGTCTTCTAACAAGCTGGTTCCTTCAGAGATGTTGCTTAATGTCTCCCATTTTTTCCTGATGGCTGAAGTGAAGATGTCCTTTGTAGTCTCGTCCTTCAGTTCAGTTTCTGTTCTGGGTGTTGAACTTCAACTGTGGTCCATCATCACCAGCTTCTGTGAAGGCTTTCAACTTGATTTTGAGGGTAGGTTCCTTGCACCAGATAGTGAGTGATCTGAACCTACATCCACTCCCTTTCTTGATCTTGTGTTCAGTAGGCTTCGTCTGCACTTTCTTCACATTGAGATGGAGTCGATCTGATTTCTAGTGTGTCCTGGTGTCTGGTGAAATCAAATCCATGTCTCTGCCTTGTCAATATCCTTGTGTTTGTACACACTGGCTCCAATCACCAAATCGTTGAGTGCGGAGAAATCTGCAAACAGTTCTCCATTCTCATTCCTCATTTCACCGAATGCCTCTTGACCCATGATGAGTTCCATTCTTGTGTTGTCTGCTCGCAGTTTGGAATTCATGTCACCCCACCCGTGAGAATTTTGATGTCGCCAACTGAGATGGGGTCTTGTCCAGTACTGATTGATTGCAGATGTCTGTAGAGTTTCTCCTTCTTCTCTTGATCTGCATTATTTGCAGGTGTGTAGTATTGGTATTGTACGATTGTAACTTTCCTTCGTTTTGATTTGAATCTTGCTGTCATGATCCTGGAGGAGATTTGTTGCCACTGTATGAGGGAGAGCCTTCGATGCTGTTGGGGACATCATGATAGCCACTCCGAAAGTCAGTGTGCTGGTGATTGTCGTCAGGGTGACAATATCGGAGTAGATTATTGACTCTGCAGTTGACAGTTTGGAGAGTCCACTTCTATTCGATCTGCTTTCGCAGATTCCTAGCACTTCGATGTTATACCATCTCATCTCTTCTGCAATCTTGGCAGCCTTGCCAACCGGTTTCAAACATGGTGCGGATATTCCATGTCCCCATGCTTACTTTTGCTTTCATCGAGAGAGAGAAGATACATCGACCAATTGGCTTCCCAAAGGCTTTCACCAACCGGCGTTATTCTGCCTTTCCGATTCCAACGAGGACTAAGTTTATTTATTTCTGTGCTTTGAGTTGGGTTGGTTTTACGTGGTAGGGTTGCTAGCTCTATGTCCAATCTTCCCTCTGTATCCGGGTTTAGGGCCGGCTAGTAACTAGTTAACTCGGTGCTTCAAATTACGCATTGAAGCCTTCAGTGTCTTGACCCTCCGTCATGTCGGTCAACAGGCTTCACTTCCCAAATCTAGCAACTCAGGCCATGGACGTGTACTGTATTTGTGAAATACTTATACATGACTAAAATATGGTTTTTAACTTAACCACACCTGGCCAGTATGTTAGTCCTCAGAATCCACCTTTCGAGATCCATCGACCTGTTCTCATGGTCTTGCAGTTGCATGTATATCATTCAGCGCAAAGACAAATTCACTACTCAACTGGATCCCAGTTTGACAGTCATTTGTGCGCTGTTTTACTGAACGGCATGGTCAAGGCTGAAAAGATTAGCGAGACTGGTCTTCATCTTTTTGTGATTTCTACTTACTCACCCACTGATTGCAGTTCGGATGAAGTGAAGGGTAAGTTCTGCCGAAAATTTCCTAGCCTCTTACTAAAAGCCAAGTGCTCAGACTTGGTAATTTTTGAAGATGATTTCAATGCTCAGGTAGGCAGACAGAAAAGCACTACGGGATACTTTTATCATCCAGCCGAAGGAAAAGATAACGGCGATCGCTTGTTTCAAATGTGTTCAGACAATCATATATTACTAACTGGCACAAACGTCAAACATAGAAACGTTGTATGACATGGCATCCACCTAGCCCAACTCAGCGGTCGACACATAGATCACATTGGTATCAGTTATCGCTGGAGAGGGTCGGTGAAAGATCACTACTGCTTCTAGAGCACATGTTTGGACAGCGACCACGCGTTAATTCGAGCACGTGTATGTCTGCGCCTGAATGGACGTAGGAAAACCATAGCAACAAGATCATTACAGGCGCAGCTCGATAATGACAACGCTTAGGATCCTTTTATTGAGAAACTGGTTAGGCAATTATTGGAGCAGAACAAAATTACTAGTTCGGAAGAGGGCTGAGGCTACCTCAAGTCTGCTGTAAAAATATCAATGGAGACTGTAACTAACTCCCAGAGAATGGTTAAAAAGGCCAGTGGATCTCAGCAGCTTCTGAATTAATGGATGCATGCGAACGCATCCACACAGGCTCCGAGTACAGTGAAGCGCGTATGCAAATCATACGTAAGCTGACGAAAAGGCTATGCAATGACCGCAAACAATGTTGGGGCCTGAAGGCCAAAGAGATGGGAAAGGCAGCGGTGATATGTAGCCTTAGGTAGTTACTTAAACTTACTAAGGAAATTAGAGCGAAAAGGTCAGTGGTTATGGAAACTATAGCGGAGATGGATGGGTTTGTGATTCAGTTGCCGGGAGACGACTGGAACGATGGGCAGAACACTTCGGAAAGCAGGTCAACTGGACTCCAACTACTACTGTTTGAGCCTATGGTGAGTTGTGTACGTCGACTGGTGCCCGTCAAGTATATTCACTCTCCACTCCTATTCACCTTTATCATAGACATACTTATGGTTTTCTCTCTCTCGTCGTCTGACGTTACAGAGATTTATCTTATCACCGGAGAATCCTTGTTAGATCTGGAGTACTTAGTTGATATAATCCTGTTATGTGAAGATCCTGACAATATGCAATCTTCTGGACACATCGAGTACCAATTTGGAAATGTTTGGGATGCGTTTCTCACCACCCTAATGCAAACTATTGCTCCAGGACTTATCTTCACCAGTGAAATAGTTGGTAGTGTTGACCACTTCACTTGCCTTGAAAGTCGGATCAGCTCTTGTAAGTCAGTGACCGAAGAAATCTCTGCACAGATACAAAAGGCACGATTGGCTTTCGCCAACCTATACCATTTATGGCACCACCGTGATATCCGACTGTTGACTACCCTGCAGTTCGCTTTGTTCTACTGTATAGTCATTAAAGGTAAGGGATATGAGAAAGCTGGTGTTTGATTGCCGTTACCTTCGTAGCATAGGCCGTGTCTCGTGGTGCCACCATGTCAGTAGCGTCAAACCTCAAGCTTAAAGTTTAAGGGGGAAAGGAAAGTCAGTTAATAAGGTCGTGAACCTTCATAGACAGGTGGCTGCGAAAATGTGTTACGCATAACTAGTCACCGTCTGCCTCGTCGCACAATTTTAGGTGAAGTAAGTTTAGGTGGGGGAAATGTTAGAGGTGATCATGGCATCAGTCGCAGAAGTCTTTGCCTGTTAGTCTGAGCTGTCTAGGAAAAATATAAATACACTGGTTTGGGTCGGAGACTAGGTGATATGGTTTAGGATCGATGTCACTGGCGCAGACGTATTCAAACATTTTTATTTTAATCGTCATACTTAATTCAGTATTCACTCATTTTCCTCGCTTTTTTCTCATTACTTCCTGCCACTTTTGACTGCCGTCTTCTTTATTTCCTGATTTTTCATCTGGGTACATTTTCTGCTTGATGTGCTGGCGTGCTGAGTAAGTACATCAACTTATTGAAGGCCCTCTACTCGAACACTTGGTTAGGACATGTGTTACATATGCCTAGTCGCCGTCTGCCTCGTTAGACAATGTTGACTGAAGTAGGTTCAGGCTGGAAAAAGGCTCGAAACGGCCAGACTAAAACATGGCATCAATGTATGAAGTCTTTGACTGTTGGTTTGAGCCATATGGGGCAATGCAGACTAGCCGGTTGGGGTCCGCGGGACAAGAGGAACCAGTAGTTGGAGACTGTAGGTGAATATGGCTCAGAACCGAAATCAGTGGTGCAGATGTATATGTACGTTATCCTCATCTTAACGCTATACCGAACCTCACCATTTTCTCATTCCTCCTTTCCTTCTTTTGGTACTTTATATTTTTTTTGACCGAATTTTCTTTTCTTCATCTTCCACTTCACTACCTTTTTACTTGATGTACTGATGTGAGGTGTGGCGAATCGAACCGTTACGCAGTAATGCCTGGCCCTGTATTAATGAGTGATGATGATGATGTGATGTGCTGATTATAAGGTGTGGCGAGTCGGACCACTACGCTGTAATACCTGACCTTATTCTGTCTGTGTTTTTCGATGCAACCACATGCATACATCATCATCTTGTCCATGTTTCCGAATTTCTTTGCCTCGCTTTCGCGACTTCCTAGCACTATGACTACTTCATCACCTATTTTTGAATCTTTCATCTTTTTGCCTTCTACATTTATGTGCTGATGTGAAATTCAGGAAGTTGAATGGTCACGCAGGAATGCCATGTCTCACATTGAGTCAAACTAACTAACTGATTTGTTAATCATTTTATCCCCTTTTCATTTCCGTTACCTTCAGTTACTTTTATCTGATTTTTCAATGCTCCATCTGAGTGCGTTTTGTCTTAATATGTGGTGTAGCAACTTGAACCGTTATGAAGTAATGTCATATCTTACATCGTTCTTAGCTGACTGGTGCTCTCCATTCCTGGTTTCGCTTTGGTGGAGTCGGATTTCCTTAAAACAAAGTGATCGCTATTTTTCAGCTTCATATTCTGCATTCGGGGCGAACATTTAAGTGTGTACATTGCTGTAACTTATTCCGAACTTCTGATCCGTCATTGATTGACTTATAGGCATCTAGGTCGACGCTGATATTTGGTGATCTGGTAACATTATTGTCGATACTTGAAATTGTCGTTGACAGGATAAGTGTTTTTGTCATTATCATACGTAACTTTTGTACTGGAAATCGGGACTTGATTATTTGGTAATTTCAAATGACTGCACGCGCTATTCCAGCAGTGAGTTACCCACAGTGGAAATCATCGACGAGATGAGGATCAGCTGGTACATGAGTGAACTGGAGAAAATGGGGAGTTAATTTGATGATTCGCTGTAAGTCTATGTGACTATTCATCATACCATCAAGATACTTGTCGAATTTTGTTCTTGTTGGCTTTCTAACAAAAATCTGATGTGATTATGTACCATGTACCATGCCCCTCATCTGTAGGTAGGTGTTATCCGCATAACCTACCATCTTTTACCAATTGTAATGCCTGACATGTCAGTTTGAAATTATTGCAAACCAAATATGAGATACCAACATGGAAGGTGTATTTGTAACAGAAACTTGTAGGCATAACTGTTTGATGCGTAAAATCCTCTGGTTTATTTGTAAATGTCAAGACGTTTTTGGATGACAAAAGGAGTTAATTGCTATTCCCATGTTACTACGCACCAATTTACAGACACGATTTGCGAAATCTTATCTCTACTGAGTCTCCGGCAGTTCCAAGCACCCATTTATTTCTCATTATCTTGGTGTATTGATTTGGTCTAGTTTGCAGTCAGTAACCATAAAAATAAATTGGTGAACAACAGGAATGTTGCCTATACTTTCAACTTTGCTTATTCCTGATATTTTGTTTATTTGTGTTGAATATGTTATGTCTATCTGTATCCATCTTCGCACTTCAACAAACTGTATTTGTAATGTAATCCCAATACCCATCCACTCTTTCCGTTCGGTTGACATTTCCTCTTTGTTGTGAGTCTTATTAACTTGTCGTGTCCTTTTGCAATTATAACCTTCGTTCTGATTCCCTGTCCTTGTCTCTCTGATTGACTAGTTTGTTTGTTGGAAGTATGAGTTTCTAATTTCGTTTTTGCATTATTCGTTTATTATTTAGCTGAATCATTTTTGCCTTCTTTGTGACTGATTCGGCAATTTTCCCCACAGAAGCGTCACAGTTGGTGTTGATTGTTATTATTCTAATGATAATCCTTACAAAGACTGCCTCCGTGTTAATATACCTGAATTATTGTGTTCTGGACTTTCGGGGTTCGCGCATCACTTAGGCTGGGGTCTAGCAACCGGTATTTTGGATTTAATAGTTTAGCTCTTCATTTTCACTTCTCTCTTCCCTTCTTTACATTTTAGAAGCCTCAAGTTTTTCGCTTTTTTGCTATTCTGTAGTCCGAATTGTTCGGCATGAAGTTATTGCTAACGAATTCACTTACCCTGACGATGAAACATCCACGATCAAGTATCAGAAGTGATAGATCGTTTGACAATATTTGTCTCTCTTCTGAGTTAATATCCTTCTCTATGCTAAGTTCCAGTGCTCGTTAAGTCAAATGCTGTCTGTTGAAGCAGCTTTCTAGATACAGTACAGGTCGTCTTACTTGTATTCCGAATGCTAGACTTTTCCAAAAGCTTTGTCCGACGAAATATTTACCGAATATTTGTTAAATGTATTCACTACAAAATATGTCTTACCATAATCACCCATCTGATATATATATATATATATATATATATATATATATGGTTCATTTATCTACCTTTTTAGACAGATTCTTTTCGTGGTTTAGCCCAAGAATGTGTGTCGATGTGTGTTCAGTCGTTGGTTAAAGCAAGTGACTCAATCAGTCTCCGTCGGACAGCACTCGACGGTCAATTATTTCTTATCAAACATCTTCTTATACTTCGTGAACAGATGGCACCGTTCAGCATAGAATTTCTAGTCAAAGAAACTAGTTTGGACTTCTCTCCATACAAAAGTTAGTCAACATACGTCTTGTTATCTGTATTTTTGTTTTTCAAACTTTCGTTGACCGAATCAACTCGCCAGTGATAATCCTACATTAAAGCTTATAACACGATTTGTTTTCCTGCAGTCTTGAGACTGTTATTTGCAATACAAATAGTCAAATAATAACTATTTCCTTGAAAAGTTATTTAAGTAAACTTCATCATCAGCACTAACTTTAATGTTAAGTAAGATGGTGCTGCAGGACTGGTCTGCAAATACTCTCAGTTTAATGATAGGCAGTGAAGTATTAGAATTGCTGGAGTTTCTTGGAATCCCCGTGTGAGCAATGTTGAGGTCAGGTGAAGGATAATAGGCAAAATAGGCAAGTAGATTGATAAGGTTAAGAACACTAGTCGGCTGAGATGGCTTAGTCATATAGTGCGCACGCCGAACCACGCCTACCTTGACGTGCGATGCTAGGGGACATTAGATTAGGTTAGGGGAGCGTTCAGAGCGACGAGACCATGACGTGGCACCAGTTGATGAAGTCTCTTACTGTTAGCGTGATTCGTACGGGGAGATGTAAACTGCCTGATTTGTGTCCTCGGGACGAAAGGAATGAGTGGTTAAGGACTCTTGGTGACACGGCTAAAATCGGTCTTGGTGGTGTAGATATATTCACTCTATCATTTGACTATCTGAGATAGCCGTAGTCTGACAAGCTAGCATTTGTACTGGGTGATGATTGAAGGTGAGATGAAAATCTGGACCGCAGCCTGATTCGAACCAGCGACCACCGGGTTACCAGCCCGGTACTCTACGGACTGAGTTGCGAGGTTTGACTGCTGATCAGAATTTTATTTCACTTCCAATACCAAGGGCAAAACCCTTGGCTAGCACTTGTGCATCAGGTTCTATTTTACTTTGTTTGTCTGTCAACCGACAGTTGTTGCGACAGTGTCCGACTATGATATGAGTGCAGGGTGAGCAACCATTGGTGTCCGCCAGCTATGCCACCTGTCACCGTTGCAGCACAACTTTGTTATCAACGTACTAATGGACATGATTCTAGATACTCTCGGCTTTAGACTGGTTGGTTTACTCTCAGGAGTGCACCTGTTTGACCTGAAGTATGTAAATGACAGTCTTGTTAGGCGAAGACACTGACGAAACGCCTAGTCTTCTATTCGCCTTAAGCAGGAGTATGAGTGTATTTGGCATGTGTTTTGCCAAGGTTGCTCTGTAGATACTCTCATTTTAAGAACAGGAAGTAAAATGGTTTAGTGCGTTGAGCACTTCACTTTGGGAGTTATATCAACTCCATTGGGCTGTTTGCTGAAACAACTTTGGGTCTTATATAGGGCTTGTTAGGTTTTTTTGAACTTGTTTAATCTCCTGTACCGGTGAAATATCCCACTGCCTGTTCAAGAATGAGTATGCTGAACTGAAGTTCACTCTGTTCTGTTATGCCGCTCTGAGACATGGCCGTCGAGAGCAAATTTTGTACAGTGAATGCAGATTATCGACCACAAGTATGTTTATATAATTACTCACATGGTATCACCGTGTTTTTGCGACGTTTTTAGTGTTGTGACTTATTAGGTGAAGAATGCACCACTTACATGCATTCGCAGCAAGGGAAAATAAAGCCGAAGAGAGGGAAAATGCTCAAAACGCATACAGAAATACTCAGATTTCTCCTTAGGTGCGCGAAAGATTCTCTTTTATCCCATCATCCAACTTTGTATACATTGTCCTTATCAAGGAGGTCTTCTTGTCCAACCTATGGTACGTCATGTCAGTAGCATATTGCTGCTGGGTGAAAATACGGAATCCTTTGGTCACCGTGAGTTGCAGTTTGAGGATATGTGGTATGCTTTTCTCACTCTACTAAGTGAAATTGTGTCTCAAATACAAGTCTGCATTGTTGTTTCATCTGACCATTAGGAGTGAAGTGGTTGAACATGTTTACTACAAGTATAAGAATGTAAGGATCCTAATGCGTACTACTGAATAACTCACATGATTCTACTTTTCTTAAAGCAAGTATTTATTATGGAATCGAGAATCCTTTTCTTACCTTATTTTGCCTTAGTGCTTTGCTCACTAGAGTTGAAATAAAAAAGAACAACTTAATGCTCATACACAACAAGTAACAAACAATCAGAGAAATATAAAAAACACCTGGCCTTTCATTAAAGTATGTTGGTGAAGTTGGCATACAGTAAGAAAAGAAAAAGTCAACAGAAATCGAAAAATATTTGGATGCACACAAAGCAGAACATAAGTGTTGGATTTCTAAGCAATAAACCCCTCCGTTACCCACTGGTGATGCAAGTTTACAGTTGACAAATAAGTTTCTGTTATCCGTATAGACGTTTTTCCAGCAACCAGCTAGTGTCTTAGCTAGTCTTGTTAGTAGCCAGCCTTAAAATGCTTCTGCTCCGTTATATTTCACTCTCCCAACAGCCTTCCTTATTTAACTCGAACGTAAAAGGCTTTTATGAATGTATCTTTCGTACGGAAGTTGATAGGTGAGCAACTGATGCTTAGCCCTAGACCACTAAGTCCATTCGTCAAAATATCCTATCATTATAAACAGTTTATCAAAGTTGTTTTATCTCAGTTGTAGTGTTGATAAACACCACTTCCATTAGTGTATTTTTTTTTGAATATATCTCAGCAATTAGTGATGATGGCTTTTAATCAATTCCTCATTGTTTCAACGGGATAATCTCCCCCTGAGTTTGCTTCTTACGGAAGGCGAAGTTAGTCAATACTGTAGTTTTAACTGTCATTAAAAGTCACATCTTAGTCACAAAAACTATGAATTTCTTTGTATATACCCCACTAAACATCACCAGTATGTATGAAACTCAGGAGTAATACTTTCTACCTTTTGAATTCAAGCGCTTAGAATTATATATTAATGTGTTAAGAATTTCATAATCTTTTCTTATTAACAGATGTAGCACGTAATATTTGGGAACATAAAGGGACTGGTTTGTTTTCACTTAGTCGACAAAACGCACTGTTACGTTTCTTATTGGAAACTCCGAATGCTGTAGATGTTGAAGTCGATTCAAGGCGTGAATTGGATAGTCAATTGAAATATACTTGTGAACTACTTATTGAACAACAAGTAATGCAATTGACAGGTGAAATATCAAATTTCCTTAAACGGGTAAGTCATATAATGGTAATTAATAACCATATTTTGAATACTATCATACTGAACAATTCAAAGAAGAATGACTACTGATTCTTCTACTAATCATTAAATAATACATAATGCTTTCAAGCCATTTGTCCTGCTTTCAAACCTAGGTCCACCTACTTCGGTCTGGGCGATTGGGTATCATAAGCCTCACAATAAGTGTGCCTTATAGCCCAGAACACAAATCGCTACAGGGGTTAATTAAAGCTATTTACTTATTATTAATTATACAGTGAGTTTTTTCTACATTATCATTGGAAAGTAGTGATGATAATAGTAGTTAGGTTATAAATAATATTTCAATACTTATTGCCTAGATTTTCTGCATACGGTACTGCAAAAAATGTATCTTTAAAATGAATAGTCATCTGATCAGATTGGTATATGAAATGAAAAATGTCATTCAGCTAAACCGGAAAATGATTCTTGGTTCATGGACCATAATAGGGATCATCCCATTCAGGTTACACACTGGATGAGATTGGAAAGAGGCTCAATGAATACCATGTCAAACATTCTACGGAGCATTCTTATTCAGATGGAGGACAGTCAGTACTCACCAGCATATTCGCTATCTAATTGTTTATGAAATTAAATGCTGTGACTTCGGTACAGCCAACACTGAACAGACTTCCAGTGAAATTAAGGTTAGGTAAGGTGAACAGTGTTCGAGATTCACCCTTTAGAAATTCAGTAGAACTCAAAAAGACTAACAACACTTCAGTCATAAATCTTCGCATTTTAGTTTCAAATCACAAGGTCGACTTTGTCAATATTGAAATCTCAGAATCTCATTCATATGCACTCAACAACTTGTTTTCAGGGATTAATTGTGAATATTGAATGTATTTAGAAAGACTAAAATAAATGTGAGATACGTCCTGTTTCATGGTCGCTTAAGATGAAGTGAAATCAAGATTTTTCTAAATAAGAGTAAGGGGAATAAAGCAGCACGACGTGGTTCCAACTCACCCTCATAGACTGACATAACTAACGCATATACGATAGGAACTATGACCTCATGTGCACACGCAATGTTTAGTCTATAATGCACATACTTAACAGAATGTTTGTTTGTTTCCTTTTAGAACTACCTGACTATGCAGAATCACCTTTGATTGGTTTATCATAGATAACCTTGGATATTGTCGATTCTTGCTTACGATTACTTCCATAAAGCTATTAACACGGAATATTAAAATGTCAGTAGAAACAACCTTCCTTGTTTTCCATTCATTGAGAAATTCGAATACCAAGATACTGAACACCACCATTATCTCATTGGTTGCAATTAGTGTTTTCATTCATCGTTAATGCAACTGTGAAAGTTTTGTCGATGATGAGATTTTTGGAATCGTTTATGCTATATCAATTTTGTTTTCTCAAACCAATGAGTTTTTCTGTTAATTTTTGCAGTTAATCAGTCATCTTTAACTTCGAATCATTTTCACTATTCGTATAAATTATGATACCTTTTTTGTTATTTCAAACCGGTTCTATCGCGGTTAATGACTGAAGCACTTAAAATATGTGATAATCTTGGATGGTTCTGTAGATCATTTGATAATGTGTTTTTTCAGGCTCATTCGGTCCTCGCTGCTCCAGGTGTTCGTCTTAGTGATCAGTCATTTGCAAATGCATCATACATGAAAGATATCATTGCAAATGCACACCGATTGCTTTGCATAACTCTTGGTCGGAGCTCAAGTTCAAATCGTCCTGATGCAGGGAAACATGCTGTAACTAATCTTAGAAAATGCTTACACATTTATTTGGCCAATCCAGATACAGAGAACATTTTACTACGTCGTATTCAATCGGGTGTTCTATTGCAGTGGAGATCAATTTACCAATTACTAACTGATCATTATACTGATGAAGATCGTATGATAGTTGGTTGTCCAACTGAAAGCCAAGTAAGTAATCATCTTTTCAGACTTTTTATACAACAGTGTTAAGTTTTTTAAGATACCTAGTTTTATACTTACTTATAGAGATACAAGGCCTTACCAAACTCTACCAGTATAATGCAGTATAAAACGCTGAGACTCTGAATTCCGCACAGATACCACTACGTTCTACCTTCTTACCTTATTCAGGTAAGCTGTGAAATAATAACAAATGTGCCAGTTTCAGTTGTTATACTGCGACTGTAGTAACGAAAAGGATGTTGTCAATAGTAAGGTGGGGGGGGGGGAGGTTCAACTGTTTTAGACTTAGTCTTGTCAAATGTAAAGAAATAATGGATGCGAGTGCATCTTAAAGGAGAATTTGTAACGATCTTACTGTTTGTACAACCATAAGACTTAGTCGCAATGGCCAAGTTCTCTACATGTTCTTCAGCAACCAGAAGCTGCATTCGCCACTGATATGTTTTAGTGTCGTTACCTACTCGTGACCGCTTTCATTCTCCCTGAATATCAAATATCTCGTGGTCAGAGAGAAAAAGTTAGTGGTAATCATCATGGTAATCGCAAAATCACTACATTTCACCGAAAGATTTCTCACTCGATGATCTAACCAGATGTTGAAATTATTCCTTAATGATCCCATGTCCTGCGCTTCCACTAACTATATTAAGGTTGTAAACCCTAGTTGATTGGGATGGCTTAGTCATATAGTGCGCACGCCGAACCACGCCTACCTTGACGTGCGATGCTAGGGGGGACATTAGATTAGGTTAGGGGGAGCGTTCAGAGCGACGAGACCATGACGTGGCACCAGTTGATGAAGTCTCTCACTGTTAGCGTGAGTCGTACGGGGAGATGTAAACTGCCTGGTTTGTGTCCTCGGGATGAAAGGAATGAGTGGTTAAGGACTCTTGGTGACACGGCTGAAAATCGGTCTTGGTGGCGAAGATGTATTCCCTCTTTGACATCTTTTAAAGCTTCAATATTCTCACTAACCGTTATCTTCAAATTTTTACTCTCACACAAGTTCGTCTACTTTGATGTCACTCTTTCTCTATCCACCTTTTCCTTGTGTACTTCTGTGAAGTGTAGCAACTTAAGCCGGTGGACCTGTGTATGAGGTTCCACGTTGGTTTTTTCAGTCAGGGTCACATCCATGCAACCATTATAATGATACTTAGTCTGCACATAACTGCAATCAGTGGTTAAAAATGAAGATGGAACATTTTTCTAATTTCTCATTTGTAGATTCGACTTTTGTTCCAAGACGTTTGGATTCGTTGACCTACAGGAATGAAATTATTTCACCTTCATCGTAACTTTTGCCTTATGTAATTTGCAATTTTCTGATTTTTCTACATGGTTACTTTTAGTGTGAAATGCATGGAAATACCTTTTTCTTGTAACCAAACTAGTTTACTTTTTATGGATAAACTTCAACAAATGTAAGTGAACAATTTCTGTGATAATTTTCAACACATTAAACAAAAGCAGTTGACAGAGCTGTAGAATATCTCTGTTATTGGTTTTTTTAAAAATTTGTCAAGCGAGTGGAATGTATGAAGTTTTCAACAAGGCATTTCCGTACAAAATCAGTCAGGTCGCTGAATCATCTAGTGAGTTTACACTGGAGAAGAACGAGATACTGATATGGAATTATATTTAATTAGTATTGTCTGCAAACGTTTGCTTTCCGCGTAAGTTACTCAAACTAGTTTGATCATGTAAATTTCCTTCTACTCAGCAAACTTTGCGTCGTCTTGCCAAAACGCATATCGAGTCATCACAGAAATGTATATTGATTTTCCGAGTAAAACACGTATTTAACAGTCTTAGTATCCTCCATCAAATACAGTCAACTTCGTAACGGTTTCATGAGACTATCACCAGTGTTTACGTGCATAAAAAAACTAGCAACAGTTACCATGTCAATAGTAATAAATCAAAAACATTTTGTAGTATCACCATCCAACAAACCTAGTATGGTATGATTTCAGGGAAGAAATGCTGTCACCAACATAGTTCGTTGATTTATTACAATATACTAGTGTTGTCTATGTAGTAGCAGTCGGTCGATCTTCATCTTGCACGTGGTCATATGGAGAAACATGTATCATAGCAATGATTAACTATTATTATTATTAGTCCCTTGGGTTCCTAGTGGAACATAGGGCTTCAGTAGCACGCCTCCAGTGACCTCTGTTCTCTGAGATCTTTTGAACCTGGTTCCACGACAGCCCACAACCTCTCATTTCCTCCTCGCACCACCTCCTCCATGTCACCCTCGGCACCGACGTCCAACTCGTCGCTTCCCATGGGGATTCCACTCGAGAGCCCTGACGCGTGATGTCCTCAGTCGGCCTTCTCAGTGTATGCCACCAATCCATCTCCACTTCCTGCTCTGCATATTTGTTGCGTGATAGGTTCTTGGTTGGTTCGTTCCCAGAGTTCCTTGTTGCTTATTTTTTCTGGCCATCTGATCTTCAGCAGCGAGCGTAAGCAGTTGTTGATGAATGTCTGTAGTTTATTGGAAATGCCTTTCGTGACGCGCCAAGTCTCTGAGCCATACAAGAGCACTGACTTGACGTTGGTGTTGAAAATCCGTATCTTGTTCCACATGCTGAGTGCAGAAGATCTCCACACTGGTTTCAGGCTAATGAAGGCCTGTCTTGCTTTTCCGATTCTGACTTTGACGTCCTCGTCCGTCCCGCCTGTAGTTGAAACAGTGCTTCCTAGATAAGTGAAGGAGGTTACTTCCTTCAAGTTTCTCCCGTTGACGGTGATTGGAGTTTGTTGTTGTTGTTGATGGTGGTGGTGCGGTATCTTCACTTCTGTCTTCTCTATATTCACCTGAAGTCCCGTCTTAGCTGCCTCTTCTATCAACTTGTTAGTTTTTGCCTGCAGATCTTCAAGTTTATGTGACATTAGGCATAAGTCATCGGCGAAATCCAAGTCTTCTAGGTTCTTTTCCGTCGTCCAGTGTATCCCCCTCTTCTCGCTGCCTACTGTTTGCTGCATGATCCAGTCCACCACAATAAGGAATATCATGGGGGATAGTAGGCAACCTTGTTTCACTCCTGTCTTCACTTCAAAGGCATCACTGAGCTTCCCATTGTGAATTACTTGGCATGTGGCATCTTCATATAGTTGTTGAATGAGGCGGATAAAGGTTTGCGGTACTCCGTAGTATTGAAGCAGTTTCCAAATTACTTCTCGGTCGACGCTGTCAAAGGCCTTCTCAAAGTCGATGAAGTTGAGGTATGGAGCTGATTGCCATTCTACGCTCTGTTCTATGATGATACGAAGCGTTGCAATTTGGTCTGCACATGATTTGTACTTCCTGAAGCCTGCCTGTTCCGGTCGCAGTTTTGAATCCAGTGCATCTTTAAGCCTCTCCAGGATGATGCGGCTTAATATTTTACTTGGGGTGGACAGGAGAGTGATTCCGCGCCAGTTCTTGCAAGCACTGAGGTCTCCCTTCTTCGGCAGTTTGACAAGGTAACCCTTCTTCCAATCTCGGCAGGTACCTTCTCTTCCTTCCACACCTTCTGCAATAGTGGTGTGAGCATGTCCGCTGTTGTCTCTGCATCTGTTCTCAGTGCTTCTGGCGGTATTCCATCTGGTCCTGCTGCTTTCCCGCATTTCAGTAGCTTTATGGCGTTCAGGACTTCCATTTTCGTTGGGGGATTAATGTTCACTTGTAATTCAGCGGCTGCAGGTGGTATTTCTGGACGAAGTGCAGGTGGTGGTCGATTCAAGAGCTTCTTGAAGTGGTCGGCCCATCGTTTCCTCTGTTTCTCTTCTTTGTAATTAAATTTCCTTCTTCATCTTTTATTGGTTTCATCTGTGTTGGTCTCTTCCCTGATAGCAACCTGGTTATTTGATACAATGTCGTCAGGTCTCTCTTACCTGCAGCCTGTTCTGCTTCACTTGCCAGTGTTTCGTAGAAGTGTCTTTTGTCTTTGCGTGCACTCTTCACTTCTTTGTCCAGTGTTTTATACATTGTGCTCAGTTCCTCTTGTCGTTGAGCATCCTTGCACTGGTTTATCTTCTGCTTCACCATCCTCCTCTCCTCTATCAGCTTCCAGGTATCCGTCGAGATCCATTCCTTGTCTTCTTTCTTCTTCCTTCCTAATACTGTTGTGCAGGTTTCTTTCCACATAGCTTTCAAAGACTTCCAGTGTTCTTCCACACAGGTTTCTTCAGGGATGTTGCTCGATGTCTCCCATTTTGTCTTGATGGCTGCCTTGAAGATCTCCTTTGTAGTTTCATCCTTCAGTTTCCGAGTGTTGTACTTGAATTGAGGTCTATCACCAGCTTCCTTGAAGGCTTTTAACTTGATTTGGAAGGTTCCTTGCACTAGACAGTGAGTGTCTGAACCTACATCTGCTCCTCTTCTTGACCTTGTGTTAAGTAGACTGCGTCTCCATTTTCTTGAGATTGAGATAAAGTCGATTTGATTTTTAGTGTGTCCATCTGGTGAAATCCATGTCGCTTTGTGGATATCCTTGTGCCTGAACACACTGCCTCCAATCACCAAATCGTTGAATGCACAGAATTCTGCAAACAATTCTCCATTCTCATTCATTTCACCTAGCGCCTCTCGACCCATGGTTAGTTCTCTTCTTGTGTTGTCCCCTCCCAGTTTGGCATTCATGTCGCCCATTAGAATTTTGATATCGCCAACTGACGTCTTGTCCAGTGTTGATTGAAGTTGTCTGTAGAATTCCTCCTTTTTCTCTTGCTCTGCATTATTTGTAGGTGCATAACATTGTATGATTGTGACCTTTCTTCCTTTTGAGTTGAATCTTGCTGTCATGATCCTGGAGGAGATTGGTTCCCACTGCATGAGAGCCTTCGATGCTTTTGGGGACATCATGATAGCCACTCCCTCAGTGTGCTCGTGGTTGGCGTCTGGGTGACCGGAGTAGATTATTGATTCTCCAGTTGACAGTTTGGAGAGTCCACTCCCATTCCATCTGCTTTCGCAAATCCCAAGCACTTCGATGTTATACCTTCTCATCTCCTTTGCAATCTGGGCTGCCTTACTGGGTTCAAACATCGTGCGGACATTCCATGTCCCCACGTTTACTTTCGCTTTCATCGAGAGAGAAGACACATCGGCCAATTGGCTTCCCGAAGGCTTTCACCAACTGGCGTCATTTCGCCTCTCCGATTCCAGCGGGGAATAAGTTTGTTTTCATTTTTTATATTTTGTTTGTGCTTTGAAGTTTGTTTAGCGGTTAGATTTGTTTTACGGGGTAGGGTTGCTAGCCCTATGCCCAACCTTCCCTCTTTACCCGGGCTTAGGACCGGCTAGTAACTAGTAAACTAGTTAACCAGGCGAGGTTAATGAATGATTAACTAACCTCACTAAAATTTGTGAGTGCATACGAAGCTTGTTTAGGTCGTATATAACATTCCCCGAAGGTGACCCAGGTAGATGCTAGTCGGCAGGAGCTGTCGGTGGACCATGTGTTCTCCAGCACAGCTGACTCATAAATCGAAAGTCAACACCCGTTGTGCAGAAAAACAGTGGTAATCTCAGTTAGTTTTATGACAGTAAGAAGTCTGCATTATTAATAGATGATTTCAGTTGTTGCATCTACAGGTCTACTCATGAAAAAACATATGATACTAAGAGTTTATCTGAAATATCCATATGATCTAATTTATGTAACATTTGAAATAAGTCTTTGAAACTATGGACTGCAGATTTTCTCCGAATAGATTTTCACCTTTCGGCTATACCTCAAGTCGATTTATGACATGGTGAATACACCATTTAAATTAAAGACCACATGAGAACATCCAAATTGTGAACTTCAGGCAGACCTTACGTAAAAGACATACGTAGCTCCCCAAGTTTGAGATCCCTATGGGCAAGACTTTAGATCAACCTATTCACTATTTCTTCCATATATCTGATTACCATCTTTTCAGTTAAGATCTCCTCTTATTAGTCTGAATTGTCAATTCTACAGCCTTCCAAATAAATAAGCCCTCTTTTGATGTCTGCAAGGAAAACAGTCTGAAAAACTTTATGTCTGTGGTTATAGGTTCTACAATCACGAGGCCTCAAAAACGGTGGTAGGCTTCAGAGCTTGCCGTGAATGTAATCCACCAGATCTTGGAAAACAGACACCGTCTACTGATGCTAGCTGTTTTTCTCTACTTGAAGGTTTTACTCGGTCGATGGATCTCATGAGAGAATCCGTTCTTCAAACAAGTGCCAGGAAAGTACAACAACCCTTCATAGTATTGCATTCTAAACGTCGACTGCGTCTTATGGCCTATTCCGTGGTGACCGGAACGACGTCTAGGTCGAGAGTAGTTCATAAACAATGCCATATATATATATATATATATATATATATATATATATATATATATATATATATATATATATATATATATATATATATATATATATATCCAGTTCAATATTTCCATGCAACATACTGCTTTAAAATAATCTCTCTCGCCCAGACTGAACTTATCACATAGACATATAGACTTATATAGCATACATAGCGCAGTACTGATGGCCGAAGACACAGAATTTTTTCACACTTCGTATATCATTTAGCTATGCCTTTCTCACGTAAATCGTGTCTACAGTACAGGTGTCCATCGGTGCTTCATCTAAATATAGACACCCTACCGAAAGCTGCTACGTTGACATGGTGGTCGGGCTTGTATGTCACAATGACCCAACGAGGTATGCCGGTGAAACACTTGTTCCCTCGAGGTTCTACCATATCACAAGGTTTGATAGGTGGTTGTTAGACGAAAGGTAGTAACCATGATAGTGTAAATTACTACACTATGATAGGGGCTCGAGGGCGAAGTTGTACTGCTGGCTGGGGTGTGACAGCACCAAAATGTTTCTCTCGG